ACAAAAAAATCTTTATCTTCAATTCACATTTGTTTTCATAACTCAGTTTATCCCAGAATAGATTTGTTGTTGTTAATCCTCAACTGAAGATGTTTTTCCATTGATTTCTAGAGAGAGTAAGAGGGAAGAGAGAGAGAGAGAGAGATAAAAAAAAAAAAAAGATATGTATACTTTTCACAAAAATCTTTATCTTCAATTCACATTTGTTTTCATAACTCAGTTTATCCCAGAATAGATTTGTTGTTGTTAATCCTCAACTGAAGATGTTTTTCCATTGATTTCTAGAGAGAGTAAGAGGGAAGAGAGAGACAGAGAGAGAGAGAGAAACATTGATGTGAGAGAGACACATCAACTGGTTGCCTCCCACAAGGTATCAAGCCTGCAACCGAGGTATGTGCCTTGACCAAAATTGAACCCGGGACACTTCAGTCTGCAGGCCAATCCTCTATCCACTCAGCTAAACTGGCCAGGGCTCACAGAATAGATATTCTGAAGAGCATTCTAACTTGTTTCATCACAGCCTTTATGGATACTTAATATATTCATCACCTTAATAACTCCTTACCTTAATATATTTATCACCTTAATATGTTCATTACTTACCTCTTGCCATGGGCGCTGGGTATTTTTGTTAGAGGATCCAGCTTAAATTTTGGCTTAATGTCAGAAACTGCCATTTGGCCAGTAACTCTGTCTGGAATTCAGAAGGTACAATTAAGGCTCACAGATTAATTTCTCTATAGTACAACTTTCTTTTGCAATGTTCTCAGCTCAAGACCTGAAATTTGAAGTCTAGGGCCTCAAGGCATGGTAAGATGTATAAATTAAAGTTAGAGGTTTGTGCAAAGTTGGAAAGCCATGTGGAAGATCCCCTTGGAATATGTAGAAAAAATTATTTCAGGACAAAATTTATTTTTGAAATCAATGGGACATTTCATGTTATAACTGAGAGAGAATAAAATGTTATAGCACTTCCAAAATACTTACCTGTTTATATCTTGGATACCTGTGTAGTAGTAAGTAGATTTTTCCAGGGTTTCCTTCTGTGAGATCCCTCTGAAACCCATGTGATTTATTATGAACCCATAGATCTTAAAAGTAGAAGAGGAGTGGGATACAGTGCTGTTTTGCTACCCTACACCGTCCTGAATGGACTCAACCACTCTGGCCTCCCTAGTCCTTCTTTTCCACTCTGCGTAGTTAGAGAGTTGGGGGCCTATGAACCAGAAGCTGGGATGGTAGGGCTTCCCACTTTTATTGTTGGTTTTATCTCTGCAATGATCTTTTCAAAATGTAGAGAGTGTTAGGTGGTTCATTGAGAAGAAAACTGGGTTACTGACTTAGGAATATTAGACGATTATATACTATTAAACTGTGAAGAAAAAGTCTCTGGTTAGAGTTCAATCAATTTTCCAGGTCTTTATCTCAGAACCTAGAAAGCAGTTGTTCCTGTAACAACTCAATGACATGTGCTGAAAATCTGGAAACCTACCACAGAGCTGGCACTCCGGAGAGGATCACAATTTAGGCACTTGAAAGGTGCAGTGAAGTCATCCTCATGGCTCAAAATTATCATTCCTTTAAAAAACTACTTTCAACATCTCATAGAGATTATATTTTTTTTTCAAAAAGGACTCTGTAGATTCCCACAAAATTCATATATTTATCTATTTTTATACCATGCTACTTACCACTTCTGGGCTTCAACCAGATCAAGAATCCCATAAAGGGTTTGTTCCATCATACAACTGTGACCTCATTCACTTCTTAGGCACAGGCTCAGGGTGAGAATGACCCACAAAGCTCCTTCTAGCTTTAGAGCCACTGTGTTTTCAATGTGGTTCCTTCAGCACCCTTGAGGTATGTGTGGGTATAAATTACAGAATCAGAATATTAACAACATTGGGATTTCAGGGAAGGTGAATTAAAAAAAATACTATATTTTTTTTAATATATTTTCACATTAAACATTAGTGAATTGAAAATTGTTCAAGTAAAAATTTTACCCAACACCTTGTTTGAATGGTGATTAAGAACAATTTCATTGATTGTTTAAGCCTAGGAAGAGGGACCAAAAAATCAAACTCTTATTGGTTTGTGGTGTATAGTATTATTGGAAAGAGAACTTTAAAAAGAGCAATTAAAGGATTATGATTGTTTTAATCAGAAACTTTAATATTCAAGATCTAATATGTCTCGCGGTATTAGGTGTGTGTTTTGTTTTTTATAGTAACCACCCTGATACTTCAGTGTGGTTGGATTTGCATTTCCCTAATGATTAGTGATGTTGAGTATCTTTTCATATGATTGTTGGCTATTTGTATATTTCCTGTGGAAAATGTCTATTCATGTCTTTTGCCCACTTTTTAATAGGTTTTTATTATTGTTGTTGAGTTATAGTTCTTTATATATTCTGGATATTAACCTGTAATCAAAGATTTGTGATTTGCAAATATTTTCTTCCATTCTATAGGTTGCCTTTTTATTCTGTTGTCTATGTTATTTGATGCACAGTCTTAAATTTTTATGTAGTCCAAGTTACCTATTTTTACTTTTATTGCCTGTGCTGTTGGTGTCATATCTAAGAAATCATTGCCAAATCCAATGTCATAAAGCTTTTCTGCTATATTTTTTTGAAGACTTTTATAGTTTTAGGTCTTATGTGTAGGGAGAAGTAAAATTTTATATGTAGCATATAGCTCTGAGGGAGGAATAGTCTAGCGTGAAAGAAGAGCAAAAGCATGTAGAGTAAGCATAGATCAGGAGACAAGGAACAGTTCAGCCACATTAGAGGATGGGATTATATGAGGATAGTGGGAGCAAAAAAGATTAAGTATATTGGTTTGGGGTTGGTTATTAGTACAGAGATGACAAATTTCATCCCCACACAAGTTTAATTTGGCTTATACATCTTTTAAAAAGCTTTTGAATTTCATAAGTGAACACCTAAATTAACTCTATGACTTCTCATGAAAATATCCAAAGATTAGAAAATATAGGGCCCACATTCCTTCTTAGTAATAATTGGCAGGAAAAGCAACTTCACCCCTTTAAATGGAACTTAAGATTTCCTGATTGCCACAATCCCTGTCATTTTTTTCTAGTCTCTTATACCAAGCATGTCACTCATTTAACTTGGTTTTTGCATCATTTTTTTCTAGTTTTATACCAAGCATGCTACTCGTTTAACTTGGTTTTTGTAGACATGTGTACATCTTGATTGTTGAGCTAAGGGAATGTGGACTTTATTAGAATTGAGGAATCCTGAAGTGATCTGAGTAGAGATATTGCATGAATATATCTGTTTTCTATGGGAATTAATTCAACCACATCAAAGAATTGCCTAGGCTCATTGCCTAGGAAGTGAATTAGATGGGGCAGACTATCTGGTATTAGGCTTCTCCTTATGTAGTATTTTTTTATGTTATTTTTTTCACATTTTTTTTCACTTGAGGAGTAGGATATTTTTTCCATTGATTTTTAGAGAGAGTGGGAAGGAGGGGGGTAAGGGAGAGAGAGAGGAAAGAAACATCGATGTGAGAGACACATTGATTGATTGCCTCCCTCATGTGCCCTGACCAGGGACAGGGATGGAACCTGCAACCCAGGTACCCTTGACTGGGAATTGAACCCACACCCTCCAGTGCTCAGGCTGATGCTCTCTAACCACTTAGCAACATCAGCCAAGGCTGCAGTACTTTTTATTAAACAAGAAAAAGGAGTTCTATGGGAAAAGGTTATATCTCAATGTTGTTTATAATTTGTGAACTCTGAAAATCCAATATCTTAGGTAATGTCTAGTTCATCCTTGCAGTTAAAGATGTATGAACCTTAATGAGAAGAGAATCTCACCAGTTGTAATTACATTTGCCAAGTATTCCATTGTGTAGATGTACCACAATTTTTTATCCACTCATCTGCTGATGGGCACTGAGGCTGTTTCCAAATCTTAGCTATTATAATTTGTGCTCCTATGAACACAGGAGTGCATATATTCTTTCTGATGAATGTTTCGGGTTTCTTAGGAACCAGGGTTCCTTTTTCTCCACAACCTCACCAACACTTGTTGTTTATTGATTTGTTGATGATAGCCATTCTGGCAGGTGTGAGGTGATATCTCATTGTCATTTTGATTTGCATCTCTCGCATGATTAGTGACTGAGCATTTTTTCATATGTCTCTTGGCTTTCTGTAGGTCCACTTTGGAGGTGTATATTTAGGTCCTTTGCTCACATTTTTGAATTGGATTGTCTTCCTTAAATTGTATGAGTTCCCTATATATTTTGGAGATTAACCTCTTATCAGATGTATCATTGGCAAATATGTTCTCCAATGTAGTGGACTCTCTTGTTATTTTGTTGAGGGTTTCTTTTGCAGTGCAGGAGCTTTGTATTTTAATGTAGTCCCATTTGTTTATTTTCTCTGTAGTTTCCACTGTCCTAGGAGATGTATCGGTAAGAAATGTCTGAGCTTTTGGTGTCTATGTTTTCTTCTAGGACTTTTATGGTTTCACGTCTTACAGTTAAGTCTTTTACCATGTTTCCAGATCTTGGCTATTGTAAATAATGCTGCTATGAACATATGGGTTCATATATGCTTTCTGATTGGTGTTTTGGGATTCTTAGGATATATACCCTTTTGATCGCTGGTTCAAAAAGCAGTTCCATTTTTTAATTTTTTAAGGAAACTCCATACTGTTTTCCACAGTGGCTACACCAGACTGCATTCCCACCAACAGTGCACTAGGGTTCCCTTCTCTCCACATCCTCACCAGCACTTGTTGTTTCTTGATTTATTGATAGTCGCCATTCTGACTGGTGTGAGGTGATACCTCATTGTAGTTTTTATTTGCTTCTCTCTAATTATTAGAAAAAGTAAGATTTGAAACTTGCTACAATAACAATAAATTACCTTCTAAATGTACTTGGATCAAATCACTATAAAAATATGAGGATTTACAGAGTCTATACACCTATGACCCTTACATTTCTTTATGGTGAGCTACTTAGTAGCAAAGACTGCCTTTGTCATCTTAGCACACTTACAGTTGAACATAAAACCTGGTATGGTCAAGGCTCAATAAATGTTATTGAATAAATTGGAAGATGGGGGAAAATACAAATAGCTGAAATCAGAAATTCTGCATATTCATACTCAGGTTTAGTCACTAGATGGCATTAAATATTTTAAAAGTCATGTTATACCTAGAAAATGTCTTGAGTATATAGAATTCCTCATAACATCCCAATGTTAGAATAGGTAAAAACAATTCTAAAAATTTTCTAAAGCCACATATAAAGGTTTTATGTACGTATGATGAACTTTTAAAAAATACTTTTTTATTGATTTCAAAAAGGAACGGAGACGGAGAGACAGAAATATCAATGAGAGAGAATCATTGATTGGTTGCTTCCTACACACCCCCCATTGGCTATTGAGCCCACAACCAGTGCATGTGCCCTGACCAGGATCGAACTGTGACCTTCTGGTTCATAGGTCAATGATCAACCACTGAGCCACTCTGGCTGGGTGATGAACTTTTGATAACCTAGTCCTTTGCCTAACCCATTGAACAACAACAACAACAAAACCCCACAAAAACTAAGGAGCTGCATGAGATAAGGCACAGACTGTTCCCTATTTCTAAGAAATTTTGAGGAGTTTACTTCAAGGAGCACCATATCACTAT